TTTTTCCCGATCCTTCCTTTTCTTCCGCGGAAATCTTCTATTTATCTTCAAATTTGCCTTTATCTTCAAGCTTGACATTTATTCCCTTCTGCGAGTAAACCGTCAAAACGTTATCGTATCTTCGGGTTAGATTCGGTTAAGATCGCGAGATGGGCTTTTATCGCGTTTTAGGACCTTCCGGGCCGTTGTGCGATAAATCTGTTTCTTGACCTTGTGCGGAATCGTTTCCGGGTTCAAAGCCGTTTTTTAGTAAATTCCTCGAGTTAATCGTAATGTTTAGCTACGTTTGTTTCTCGGTTAATCGTTTCCGTTTCTTACGATTTAATCGACACTTTTACTAAAAACGCGTTTTCACGATTTTCTCGACGTTTTTTATTAAAAGTACGTTCTTTAATGATTTTAACGAAAAATCTCGGATAAATCGTATAGTCTAGGGAATGTTTGGTGTTTCGTTTAACCGCTGCCGTTTTATACGATTTCTTCGAGTTCTTTTCGAGAAAACAGAGTTTTACGGTTTTTATCGTAAAACTCGAACTGTAAGTCGGATCGAGACGAAACGAGAGACATTTCGGCCGTGGTTCAGAAAGCGACCGTGTCGTAAGTTCGAATCGGGGATGCGGGAAATAGAGGCTCTGGGAGGTCTCTAGTTCGCCTGCTGGCGAACTAAGCTGAGCTGGCTTAGTTCGCCAGCAGGCGAACTAGTCGAGGGAGTCTAGTTCGCCTGCTGGCGAACTAAGCCAAGCTGGCTTAGTTCGCCAGCAGGCGAACTAGTCGAGACTGTCTAGTTCGCCTGCTGGCGAACTAAGCCAGCTTGGCTTAGTTCGCCAACAGGCGAACTAGTCGGGAACCTTCTAGTTCGCGTTCTGCGGCGGTTTCGGTTTTTCGCGGTTTTGCAAAACGAGTTCTCGAGTTTTATAAAACGATCTTCGAGTTTTATAAAACGATCTTCGAGTTTTATAAAACGATCTTCGAGTTTTATAAAACGATCTCTCAAGTTTTATAAAACGATCTCTCGCGTTTTATAAAACGATCTTCGAGTTTTATAAAACG